ATATATATATATATATATATATATATATATATATATATATATATATATATATATATATATATATAATATTCCCTAATATATATTAATTAAATAATTAATTAATTTTTACTATTATTGACAAATATTACTACCAATTAATTAATTAATTAATTAATTAAGTAATTTAGGGTTTAGGGTTTAGGGTTTAGGGTTTAGAAAGAGGTTATGCATGCAGCAGCGAGCTGTACATACACCGCGCCAGCCCCTCAATGGCTTGTGGGGTGCATCGTTTCCCTCGTTTTGTTATTGCTATTGATTTTATTTTTATTATTTTTATTTTTTTAGTTTTTTTGTATACCCCTAGCAAACAGAAAATATATTTCAAGTTGAGTCGAAGACAGCAGGGGGGGTGTTTTTGCCTGTATTACAAAACAAAAAAAATAAAAAAAAAAGAAAGAAACAGAAAAACAAACAAACAAAAAGCAAACAAATAAACAAATAAATAAATAAATAAATAAACAGACAAACAAACAAACAGTAATCTTTGTTGAGAAAAAGCCTCGCGAAGAAATATATAATAATATATTAAATCCCTGCATGCGTTTGCATGCAACCAGCGAAAAATTTTTGTTTGTTTTGTTTTGTTGAAATTACAAAAGATATCGCCCATAGGAATTTGTGGTGACGTTCTCTGTGGCTAGCTGCAGCTAGCTACTGCAGCTAGCTACTGCAGCTAGCTATCAATGATGGCTAGCTGTAGCTAGCTGCAGTAGCTAGCTCACTGCATGGTTTTTGTTGCAAGTTTATATAGTACGAAATGACTTGAAAATATTTTTTCTGTTTCTGCTTGCATGCAGCTCGGCCCCTGCTGGGTAAAAAAGTGTAGATAACAGCAGCAGTGTTTTCTGTGTTTTTATGCTGCATACATCAAAAGGGGTTTTGTTGGGTTATTAATTTTTTTTAATTGGGTTTTAATGTTTGTATGGGGGTCGCTTCGTAGCAGCAGCAGCAGCAAGCAGTACCAATACAAATTCTGTTTCAGTACATACCATCTACGCCGTATGCAGCAACAGGCCTTTATGTTACAGTGCTGTGAAAGATATATCTATATAATAAAAAAATAAAAAAAAATATTTTTTAATGAATTGTTCTTTCTCTGCTTTCCTGGGTTCATTGCATTCATGATGGTATACACTGCACGCGCTGGAGAGAGGCGGTATTACTCTTGTCAGTTGCTTGCTTTCTTCTTCTTTTTAATTAAATTAGATTTATATTTATTGTGAAACGGAGCTGTTCGGTGGCATTCGTCATAAATGCAGGATTCGTTTTCGTGGGGTTACTGTGGACTCGCTGCTGCAGGAATCTGCTCTCGCCTTGCTGCATTTTGTTTAACTTTGAGTTGAAACAAAAGATAGAATGTTGTGAAATATTTATTACAATGAAATTAATATATTATTAATTACTTTTATTTCACATTTCTCCTCTTTTCATGGCTGAATACAGATGGACCGTCGGTACGACCAGTGCGTCGGTGGCGCCGTACAGAAAGCGAATTCAAGAAGGCGTTGCATGCGGGAAATTTGCGGAATCTTCGTGAAATATATTAAATAAACTCATTAAATAAATAAAAATAAATTTATTTCAACTTTTAGGTTGTTTAGAATGGAGATAAAGGGGGCTGGCTGGCTCCGCCTGTCACCGCAACCCCGCGGCGTGCAGGTCATCCTAGCTGCACAGCACAGAAACCTTTAGCTTTCCTTGTGTTTTCATGAATGAATTTCTGGTTTTACCGTCTCATTTGTTTTCTTGGCTTCGTCTGCTGAAATTAATGTAATTTAAGACGGGTATTTCCCATATTCGGGGGCTGAAACTGCATTTTTTCGTTACCGGGCGGCGGGAGCACTGCAGCACTCTGCGGCACTGCCCGTGGTCATCTGTAAGCTTTCTTGCAACATTTCAGTATTTCTTCTCGTTGCGTTTTTTCTTGGTTTCGACTTGAAAACATATATTTCATATTTCCCCCAATTAAATACGGTAATTCCAGCTGTGTCACGCCGGCTGCGGTGTACAGGGAACTGTAACTGCACGTCTGCCTGCGACGCACGAGCAGCTCATTCAATATAATCTTTCTGCTGCTGCGTGCCGCTTTCTTCGGATTCTTTTCGGTTTTTTTGAGGCTATATTTCTTTCTGAAGCTGCGCAAAGTATTTTTTTCTCAAAAGGGGTCATTGAATCCCCCTTCATCACCAGGTGTTCGTGTAGCGGCGCTCGCTATATATACAGGCGTTGCCTGGCGGTATCTGCAGCAGGAACTGAGATAAACGCTCCATAAAACTGCTGATCCAGGAGCGTCTTTGTGCGTTTTTGCTTTCTGACCTCCCGCGTGTTTTTCTTTCCCTCGGATAGCTCTTGATCGTGCTGACGGCTGAGTTGTTGCAGCCCCCCCCCCCCCCCCCCC